TCACCTGATCATTCCCTTACAAGTAGACACGACAACAGATGTGGCCACTCGAATATAGCCTTGCGCGTGGCTTCTTGATCAGTGCACTGGAGGAAGCATATCTCCACTCGCTCGTAACTTGCCATCTACTTGTGCTTCTTGGTGGAAGGGAGATATTGTTCAAGAGCTGAGGGTGGCCAATAGCCTCGACGTCTCAAAAGGTAAGTGGTAGAGATGGAGTAACTCTCTGCGATTTGTCTCGAAAACAACCTCTTGAACTGCCAGGTGCCACAAGTCTTCTCCTTCTCCACTCAACTTTAGGACTCTCGTTAAGATATCATTCATCTTTTCGGCAATTCCTGTAGCTTTCTTCGCGCTGACTGGCGCTGGAATCTAAAAAAAAAAAAAAAACACCTCTGTTTTGGAAGAACGGGGGAGCTCTACGACAAAACAAACAGACAGAACTCAAAAGATAGTTTGGGAATGAGAGGACTTGCAAGATTGGGAAAATTTTGTCAATCACAAAAAGGTTCGAGAGACACTGAAGATATCAAGTTGTGGACACTCATGGCTCTCAGGAGAGACATTCTCACTACGAGTTGCATTTGCGGCACAATTTTTTACTATTTTAGTAAGAAGAGGTAGATGAGTTAAACTGCTTCGAGTGAACAGCACGTAGTCAGGAGGATACGAGACGGGGTGCTTAGGAATTGGATTATGTGCAATCAAATAAGGGCTACAGCGTGCTGACTCGACTGCGCAGTCTGAGCTTACCGAAGTACCAACCGGTCAGAGGAAGGAAGCATAATTATATCAACAGCGAAAATGATTCAAGGCAGAACACTCCGAGTATCTATACAGGCAATGAGCTAACGGTGCTGTTCTTTCTGCGCATATAACGTAGTGTAACGTTCTCAACTCTCTGCCAAGTGTTAGAGCTTCCGGAAAGGTAATACTTAGCTGAACTTATTCCCAAGGGACTAAGTGACGTCGGGTCGGTATAGGAATGAAGAGGCAAGTATCAATCGAAGTGAATCACGTGGAAATGATTCCGTTACAAGCTGGGTAAACTGTGAGGTAAATAGAGCTATGGTAATTTGAGCACGAAGCTCCTATCTACTAAGGAAACTACAAAGACTATGTACTAAGAGATTCCATCCTGCTAGCTTGCTAGCTCATCGCTCTGGCTAGCACATCACATGACATTAGCCATCTGGTAATTTCCTGGCCCGCTTCCTTCTGCAGGTAACCGACCAGTATTATATACGAGATGCTTTGCCCAAGGTTCTACTATGACATTCGTCACTGAGCCTAAGGTCCTTGGTAACGTGATTCAGATCGTGACACTTAGCTAAATAGCTGATGGTTGCTCAAATTTATAGGCAGACATATATCTAGTGAACACGCTAGCAATTCGTCTTGCTCAAGAGATTATACAGTTAGAATCTTCCACTATCTGCGACGGGCTGAATCGGTTGAATAGCTCAAAGTGCAGTCGTAGAATAAATGTTGTTGAACTCGATAGCGAGCTCAAGAGGCTCTGGGCCTTCATGGGTATATAGTGTAACCCCGCTAGCATCTGACTCGCCTACGAACCCCTTTCCAAATAACCGAGGCCCAGCCTCACGCTCCCAAGGTCCTGACCCTTTACACTATCTAGTATAGTACCACACAAGCCCTCATCTGATTTAAAGCTGTAGATGCATCCGAGCCACATGCTTGCTGAGCTTGCTTATTTGGAGTCAGCAGCAATCTGTTGCGATTTACTAGATAGTCATAGCGCTGCTCACAATGGTAGACTCTGGTAAACCTCTTCTAGCATGGAATGCATGTCGGAAAGATAGAACATCGACGAGGATCAACATTGCTAGTTGCACTCTCGCTGTCTGCAGGGCAATTTGGTCAACGTGAAAAGCCGCAGTCCCCGGATTTCGCTTGGTTCTATGGAGCTCGCTTAGATCTTGCTCCTTCAAGGCAAGCCACTACCAGGAGCATTATATCGACAGCAAGATAAATTGGCAAAGACAGCGGTTTCTTAGAGCCAGTTTCTTATGGCAGGTTTAAGTAATTTCTATATCTGGTAAACAATCCAGAGGGTAGAGAAGTTCTCCCAGGAGAGCCAGTGAAAATGAAAAAAGACCCATTACCCAAGTATAGAAAATAAAGTGAGGGAATGGCCTGGTCTACCGCTATCCATTTCAGTAATTCCCCGAATGTCATCTGCTGTGGACGGGTGAAAACAGCGTCAATGTTAGAAACCCAATTATCAATATTAGGATCAGCAACAGTTTAAGAGTATTCAAACGAAGTTTGCTGAGCGAGATTTATTTCAGCGTCAATGAATCTCCAGCGATGTTGGGACAATTAACATGAGCGTCAGCTCCGTGTAGGAGCTCATGAAACAAGCAGTTACACAGTAACATCAAAGGAAGAGATACAGCCGATCAGCTACTATCAGGGAAATACAGAGCAGGGTCGTAAATTAGTAGTCAAAACGTCTACGAAGAGGTAAGAATTGCAAAGCAAGCTCTCGAGATATTTACAGAATTGTTCCGAAAGAGGCTTAGCTCCCGCACCACAGCTCGCTTAGACGCTCCATCACATGACTCTTTCCCCCATCACAGCTACGACTGACATCACACCATTGCTGTTTGCGCCTGTACCAACCCGTCTGGGATCCGCGAAACTGCCGTGTTGAATCTGAACCAATGCTTCAAAGAAGAGGATGGATGGAGTCGTAGGTTGAGCCTGTATAGTCCCGGCTAATTGTGACGGTACAAGGGCACGAACGAGGTCTAATGCGACTTGGGTAAAGTGATTGTTTACAAGGAGAGAAAGAGATTCGTAAGGAAAGCTCTGACTTAAACTATTTACACAATATGCATAAGTTAAAGTGAGACTATTCACAAAATATGAAAGTCACCTGATCATTCCCTTACACTAATTTCATATTCAAATCAGCTTAGTATGTCAGCATCTTTGGCCTTAGTGAGTGTTCAAGACTTGAAAATGGTATCCCTTACGATGATGTGTGTAGTTAGTTTGCTTGGCCAACGAGCTTGTCAATTTGGCTGCTGGAGCTGCTACCATGACTGTTTTGAGGCTCTAGAGTAGTAGCAAAGTAGCGACGGTGGGCAGACTGACGTGAACCATGATGAATGAGATGTCACGATCCCAGAACTCCTTAGCGCAATATGCCAATGGGTACTGGAAAGAGCCTCCCTGTAGCATCACCCTCAAATGAGAGAGCTGCTGGGAGAATTATGACCCCAGGAGCTTCGAGCTTCTGGAAGAGATTGTCTTCATTTCATCGCTGTCATCCATCTTACGCGATAGCAACAACACCAGTTCTTCCTATATTGGCAAAAGACTGACAAAGCCAACCTTGAAAGGCCTTTAAGTCTTGATTAACTTCAGCAATCAGGGGAGCGTCTCTGCGCATATGTAAGGGTTGGGACCCATATGGGTGCTCGGGCCAACGCGCTCGGGCCAACGCGCTCGCTCTGCACTGACTCCAGACCTTGTGGGCCAAACTGGCATTGTCCCAGAACCTCATATTCCATACAATTCTATACTTTTCCTTGTTTTGTCAGCAGGCTGCTTCTCTAGAAGATTTGGTGGATGTTATACATGTAGATAAATAAGGAGTGAATCTGCCTTATGCAGACTCCTCATGCACTTCTTAATTGAATTTCAGAACCCATAACCTTTTGAGCTATTCGAGGTTTGGCCTCTCACAGCATCTACGTGTCACGATCTGAATCACGTTACCAAGGACCTTAGGCTCATTGACGAATGTCATAGTAGAACCTTGGGCAAAGCATCTCGTATATAATACTGGTCGGTTACCTGCAGAAGGAAGCGGGCCAGGAAATTACCAGATGGCTAATGTCATGTGATGTGCTAGCCAGAGCGATGAGCTAGCAAGCTAGCAGGATGGAATCTCTTAGTACATAGTCTTTGTAGTTTCCTTAGTAGATAGGAGCTTCGTGCTCAAATTACCATAGCTCTATTTACCTCACAGTTTACCCAGCTTGTAACGGAATCATTTCCACGTGATTCACTTCGATTGATACTTGCCTCTTCATTCCTATACCGACCCGACGTCACTTAGTCCCTTGGGAATAAGTTCAGCTAAGTATTACCTTTCCGGAAGCTCTAACACTTGGCAGAGAGTTGAGAACGTTACACTAATCAGCATGATTCAATTACCATCCACTTCCGTCTTCATGCCCTTTCATATTGAAGAGAGGGTTGTGGGAAGGCTTTTCCTGAGTAACGCAGAGCAGTAAGCTATTGTCCAATTTAATCAAGTGACTTTTCTTCAAGCCAGGCATGGTTTGTAGGAATCTGTCAAAGTCCATTTCCAGGTGTAAGGGTTGGGACATATGGGTGCTCGGGCCAAGGCGCTCGCTCTGCACTGACTTCAGACCAAGTGGGCCAGACTGGCATTGTTCCAGAACCTCATATTCCATACAACTTTATTATTTTCCTTGTATTTGTTAGAAGACTGCTTATCTAAAAGATTTGGTGGATATTATACATGTAGATAAAGAAGGAGTGAATCTGCCTTATGCAGACTCCTCATGCACTTCTTAATTGAATTTCAGAACCCATAACCTTTTGAGCTACTCGAGGTTTGGCCTCTCACACCAGGGTCGATTACGAGCAGTTGCTTAAACATGAGTATTAGCTTGGGCACGTGTTAGAATTCTTACGTATTGTATTGCTGACAGTAGCAACATATCAATACGATACGCATCATGTCGGAACCTACTTCATCTAGTAGGGAAATTGGGTAATGTTGTAAAGATGTGAGCTCAAATAAAGTGAGCCAGTAACTTAAACGGAACCAAACAGCAATATCCAGCAGAGCAGCGCTTTCTTCTTCATCGCTCCACTAAGCCTGATTTATACATGATAAGAAGGGAGATCTGTAGCTTAAGTGAGGCTGTTATTTGCTGCCCCACTTTGTTTGTAGTGAATATATATTTGCCACACCAGAGCCCCTACCATATTTGGGTCATGTGGCCCAATGGTTAGGGCATCTGGCTTCGATATAAACTAGTAAATGTCAGGCACCAGGGGATTGCAGGTTCGATCCCTGCCATGATCAGACGTTCATTTTTGCAGATTCGTTTTGTCTATGAATATGTAGTCATAGGACTATCATATAGTATTGATGGATCTGCTTTGATATGCCACAGGCACAAATTGAGCCTCTTCAGAACTTCTAGTCGTTGTTTCAGTACATTTTTTTGCCTCTAAGAACCACAGAGGTTGGGGCGCAAAGCAGCGAATCGGGACTTAGCTATTAGTATCAGGTAGTAAACACCTCACTTCCTATACTACGAAGTGTAGGATGAACCGGGAGCCCTTGAGCTTCGACACTTGCATAGACTAATCCAATTAGAATAGTTGTGTTCTATTATTGTATTTCCATTTTCTGTGAAGGTCACGTGTGCCCGACGAAGTTTTTTTCATGTAAACTTCATGCCTTCTAGCCCACCTCCTACAAGCGGACGCTCAGGAGGCCCTTCACTGGGGAGAGGCTGAGGGCATTACCTTCGATCCAGGAAAGTCAGAACTGATCCACTTTACAAGACATCGAGCGAACCCTCCCGCGGACAGTAGCCCCTCTGTCATAGCAGGCACTCACGTTATACAAGAGGCCACGAGCCCGCTACGCTGGCTAGGGGTGTTCTTCGACAGGAAGCTGACCTTTAAGCCACACGTCCGTCTTCTAACTACAAAGGCCCTCACGGTCAGCAATGCCCTTCGCTCCCTCGGCAAGACTACCCGTAGAGTACCCCTATCTTCTTGCAACGCGCTGTAAAAGCATGCGTTCTTAAGAAATACTACTTCGCGGCCGAGACCTGGTGGCCGAGCAGGTACCGGATAACG